AAACATACATCATGCTCATCACAAGGTGTGAAGGGGCCTGGCGCTATACACAGGAAGGAAGCGCCAGGTCCAGACATACACAGACGAAGAGGAGGCGATCAGACGAAGAAGAGGAAGGGGGAGATGGGAAAGTCGTCAACACCAAGTCTCCTTACAAGTCCCAAATAATCCCTCTTCAAAATGTCTGAAGTCCAACGTCGAGTCTGGATCCAAATGTCACCAAGCTCTCTCTCTCTCTCCCTCGTAGTCTGCTGATGCAGTGAAGTCAGATACTCTCTTCTTCCTCTCGCTCTAACAACATCATCTTCTCCTTCTGAAATCTTAACATCTCCTCCTCTAATCTCTTCTTCTTCGCCGCCTGCTCCTTTACAATAGCCTTTGTTTCAGGAGCTCTTTCTTCTCTTTCTTCTCTCTCAAAAGGGTGTCAATCCGGGCCTGCTCGACCTCAGAGGGGGCAGTACTCTTCCCAGTACGGGTGTCAACCATGGTGAAAGGTGCACAACCAGACAACGGTTACACTCCTTACCACTTAAACTCTACTCCCCCTGACTGACTCACCTACTGACTCAATCTAAGGACTTACAGAATCCGGACAGGATCCTGTCAACTAGGGGAGTAGGTCTGTCACTACAAGACCTGTTGCTGATCAGGAGGCGTTTAAGGGGATCCCCCGTAACTCCTCAGGAATTATTTAATGTAGCAGACAGGACGACGCGATCAGCAGGTCTTCTCAACACTTAGACGGCCTGTTGTGCAGCCCACAACTCGGATTTTGGGCCTACTGTGCCACACCGAGCAGCCCGCCGGCCTGTACCGGTCCTTGGGAGGGTTCGTGTCCTCCGGGAGAGTCGAGTCGTCAGACACAGCCTTTAGTCCTACTCAGCCCGTGTGGGTTTGGTCAACAAGGCCCTATCCTTCATCCACAAAGTTCCTACACCTGGACAGAAGAGACTCGATGCAGAAAGAAGAAACTGACATACTTGACTCAGCAAGTACCACAGGGTGTGTGCACATCCATAGGGCGAGGGGATAGGCTGAAGGCTTGGCAAGAATATACCGGCTCCATCTTGGTCAAACTCGTGGTCAACGGTCTTGGTCAACGCTCCAGTCAAGCCCCGATCAACTCAGATCAATGCCCGATCAACCCCGGTCAACGCGCGGTCAACCCCGGTCAACACCTCCGGTCAACTCTGGCTATGGCGGCCGGCTTCTCTTTCATCACCACCCTTCTCCTTCCTTTCTCCCTACCTCGCCTCCTTTCTCTTCACCCCGGCTGTCTTCTATTTTTTTTTTTTTTTTTTTTTTTTTGATCGTCTCTCCCTTCACCTCCTCGGCTATGGCTTCCTTCACCCTCCTTGGTCTCCTCCTCTGTCCTCTCTCTCTCCCTCTTCGTTACTTCGTAGTCAAGCTCTGCGGCTATGGCCGCTTTAGTGCCCGGTCGCGGCCGAACACGACCGATCCCGGCGGAACGGGGCCGAACGAGGCCGAACACGGCCGTAAGCGGCCGGACACGGCCGGTACAGCTCGCGGCTGTGCGGGGGGCCGACCGGTCTGGGGCCGCGGAAAAAACGGGCGTCGACGACATCGGGGGGACGCGGCGGTGGCGGCAGCGGGGACGTCAGGGACTGCATCGACGGTACGGCACGGTCCGACGACATCGACGGTCATCGCGACGGCTTGTTGGATTTGAGTGGGGGGACGATGACGGGGGTGCGGGGACCAGCAGTGCGGGGGGGTCTGGGGGTGCCCACTTCATCCTGCTGTCCGAGAGGGAGATGGCGAAGTTGAGGCGGGGGAACTTGGTTTGGAGCTTCGTCACCACGGGGCAGTACGTCGGGGACCACTTGAAGATGCATGGGGACCGAAAGTTGCGTTGCAACTTATGCGGCCACTTGTTTCAGGGGGGGTCGTCGAAGGTCGCGCGCCATTTCACGCAGTCGAAGTACTGCAAGGCTGGGGGGATGAGAGTTCTCGCGGAACTCTGGAACGGCACGGGCTACACATTCGTGCCGTCCACTGCTCAGCGGGTGCAGAGGTGGATGGCAGACGAGGGGATACGGGACACGAGACCGCCCGCGGGTGGCCAGGGACAGCGGATGGACGACGGAGAGAGGGACGAGATTCAGGACGCCCTCGATGAGGAGGAGGGCCGTGAGGGTGAGATCGGGAAGGGGGTGGTGGCAGACGAGGCGGACGAGGCAGTCGAACAGCCTGACCTGCCAGGGGAGGAGGTGGTGATGATGTCGAGAGGCGTCTGTCGAGGAGGTCCTGCTCCTAGGGCATCGCGACCTGAGTTGGAGCGCCCGAGGAGGGAGAAGAGGGCAGTGGGGGAGGCAGACGTCGAGGTGCGAGACACGGGCAGGGAGAAGAGGGCTCGACAGACGACGATTGAGGAGATGTACGACAAGGAGAAGTTGGCCGAGTTCACAGACGCGTGGCTGCAGTGGATCTACGCGAAGGGGTTGCCATTCAACACCTTCCGTGGTCCGGAGTTCCAGAGGGTGTGGCAGGCGACAGAGAGAGTGCCTCGCACTATCCAGTTCCGGTTTCCCTCCTACAGGGTTACAGCGGGCGCCGGGATCCCTTCACAGAGGGCGAAGGTGGCGACGATGGTGAGCGAGGTGCGCGCCGCTTTCCGGCACACTGGTGCCACCATCCTCTCCGACGGGAGGAAGTCGCGCAACGGCAAGCCGCTCGTGAACTTCCTCGTCGGGGGCGCCAATGGCGCCCTGCTATATGCCACCGTCGCACGTGACGGGTCGGTCCAAGATACAGCGGACATTGTGTACCGTAGGTGGCGGGCCATCATCTTGTCCTTTCCTGCAAAGGACGTGATCGGCTTCTGCACAGACTCCGCCAGTAACTATACGGAGGCAGCGCGCAGATTCGCCACGGTTTACACGGGCAGCCCCCCCAGGCCCAGCCCGCCCGGACAGGCCCGGCCGGGCAGCGTCCTCACTTAGTAAAACGCATTAAAAAAAAAAAAAAAAAAAAAAAAACAGTGCGCCATGTCATTCCTGAATTGCAGCTGAGTCAAGCATCACAAATGACACCAACAAGATGAGGTGAGGTTTCGCTTGCCAGGGGAATGCGGAAATCATGCCTTCCGTCGAGT